AATCTTGTTTCACTGTAAAGTTCTTTGTAAATGCGTCATTATTTATGAAAATAACTTCATTAATTTGAAAGCACGTAGAAACCCGAAATCATATTAGAGAGCAATACATTTACATCTTGAAATATACAACAACTATACAGCCTAAAAGTCAATGTACTCTGAAAAATAGCAAATATTTGTAGAAAAGCAGAAAGTGTTCTTTACTGGATTCGATGTCTCGAGAATTCTCCCGTGTAACTAGATGTATTTATCTCCGGCGTTATAATTGAAGTTATACATCAGGGTATATACAGTAAAACTAAGTGACTATCTGAGTGCCTAGTGCGAGTTCCACAAAATTATTGGAATGACTTCACCATCGTGTTAACCGAGATAACATTATAGGCATCGTATAAGCGAAGACAAGCGAGTGTGAGTTAAAATCAAAGCTAACCCTTTAATTCGCGTTTGCTCACGGCGAATAGCGTTTGTTCATTCTCTTGTTGGTAGCGAGTTCGCGGCGTCAGATAAACTAATCAAATTGAGAATGACATTTTTATTTAGTGTTCTTAATATTAGCATGTGTCTATTAAAGTTGTGGTTATAATAGTGATCTTCATTACCTATTTGTTTACGTTTTGTTATTTGATCACTGTGTGAGCTATAAGCCTGAATGACTTTGACGAAACGGCGACCGCAGAGATTTTAGCCGACGTCAACACCGTCTAGCGACTACATTCTGTATTATTTATAAAAATGCAAAGATTAATAGACTGCAGAGGTTACAAGTATATAACTGATGTAGTGCCTATTATCCTTGCGTATCACTGAGAGTTATGCCTCGGTTAAGTATCTTCAATTATATTGCACGATATGGTGCTGTACCTTCGTCGAGTAGGAATCTTACCGTCTTACGTCTAAAAATGAAGAGTCTATTTGTAATATCAAAATAACAGCTTTTTACTACATTCATAATATGAAAGTATATACGGTATTGATAACAAAAACACCATTTTTAAATTTTTTCAAAAACTGCAATAACGGTTTATCATTATTTATATATTTGAACTTTAAGTTTTGGCTACTCTTTGAAAAATAACCCTGTATAATATTGAGTTTATGATAAAATTACCTATGTAATAGCAAAGAATATATACACTACGCGAAAAGAATCGACACTTAAGCATGTGTGCACGTAAAATCACTTGCGGCTATGTGTGGGTGTCTGGATGTGTGCGGGCGCCTTGAGAGGCGCGCGGGGCGTGGAACGGGCCGTCGCCGACTGTCCTGACTGAGGGCTGCGCTTTATATAAAAATAATGCCTATTCATTTGTATATAATTATTGTACGTTTATTTAGTTACAATATTTATTTATATGTATTATTTATTCACATTTATGTTATATATAATAGTTTTAAAGTATATATTTGTAATTTTATATATTTATATTTATAAAAATATATATTTATATTTTTTATTGAGGACAACAATCAGTTGTATAATAAAAATTACAATTAAAATCAAAATGAAAAAAAGGCTTATATATATATATATATATATATATAATATATATATATATATATATATATAGAATGTCCCAGTCATGGTGGTTAATCTGGTACGTACGTTTTCGGGCGGGGGGATTCCGAAAATTCGTACTTCTGCTCACATTTGTGGACATCACGTCTGCAGTTTAATGCCTAGATCGGATTTTTTTATTTTAATGTGTTCCCTAATAATGATGTTTCTAACTTACTCTTAAGTTTTCACCTACTATGGGTAGTATTTTACAAGACGGCACTAAACATAAGTTTTAAGTTTTTACTTTATTTAACTGCTAAGTTTGAGCACCTCTGGTGAAAAAAAACGTAAGGGATCTGTGTGGCCAACGATTTACAAAGTTTGCCTACATCATGAGGATTCTAAAACAGTAGCATACTGTGTACTTAGTGTCATTACTTACTGAGCTATAGCTGTTAATGTGTAAAAGTAGGTATTTCATTACAAAATTACAAAATTATTGGCAGATAGTTTTTTAACATTGCATGTATTTATTAGATAAGTAGATCTGTCACCCTTGAAAATCTTACTTTACTACAACAACGACAACAACGACAAACGGTGCTTAGGATTAATGTGTTTAAAACGATCGACTCGATAGTATGAATTTGTGTTTAGAATTCGTGTTTGGATATTGTTAAATATGGTTAGTGCGTATCTCGACCTTCTCGACATTGCACTTGCTCTATTATTTCGGACTCTTGGCTACAAAATACTATTTCGCATTCTACTGGACTGTTGACTTGTGCATTTTGATTGGATTTTGTATGTTTGGTGATAATTGTGACAACTCGGCATTCTCCTGGACTCATGATTTGTGCATTTTGATTGGTTTTTGTTTGTTTAGTGATAATTGTAACAACTTGGAATTCTACTGGACTCTGTTTTGTGCATAACAACAGGACTATGTCATGTCACGAGAAATGTACACACTCCAAGGGTCTTATCATGCATTTTATCTACGGTGAATGTAGCATGTTTATTACTGGGACATTCTGTATATATTTATTTTACATATATATATATATATACAACATGTAACAAAAACCCTGTGGTTCCCGTTAAGTACGTTATCAGGATCAGTATTCAAACCTATAGAATTTTTTTTTTTAAACTCGACCCATTTTTTTTTTATTTTATGTGTTTTTATTACCTCTTACTGACACTAACTTATGTAAAAACTAAGTAAAGCGGGGTCTTTGACAATCCTCGTACTTCCCAGACAATGTTGAGGTAATAAAACCATATACACTTTGCATACAATTTTTTTAAATAAAATAAAAAACATTATTGTTCGAGTTTTTAAAAAAGTAAAATATATATATATATATATATATATATATATATATATATATATATATTATGTATATATTTATCTTATCTATGTACTCATATACCATTCTGTATTTCTATTTTATGACTTTAATAAAAATAATGTTATTTTTGTCAATCCACACACATTTTTATTTTTTCTTGCAATCCTGTCCATCCAAAGGTTGTCTGGAAGAGATCGCTCTTAGCGATAAAACCACCCACTGCACCACATTTATTTTTCTCATTTTTTGTTAATATTTATGTTATTTTTGGCGTACAATTAAGTGTTATCTATCTATCTATGCTTCCCTATGGATTTTCTAAAAAAAATATACATACGGCTACGAATTTTTTCAATTGTTACAAATAATAATAAAAATTATAAAAGTCATCGAAAAACGCCAAAAATATATAAGAGTAAATAATTTTTAAAGGGTAGTAGGTAATACTGATTATTGCGTACTGAAATACTAAGTGTTGGTTAATTTATTTAATAAAAGTTGATTTAAAATTGATCTGATCTTATATTCACTATCTGAATTCATAAGTTTACATTATATAACATATACCTACCATGTATCGTCTTTGGGTGAGTACAGATTAAGTAACATGTTGTGTAACTTTTTGTCTTTCTGTTTGTTCGTTCCGACTAATCTCCACAATGGCTGGGCAGACTTTGACGGGACTTTTACTGATAGATAGCTGATGTTATAAGGAGTAACTTAGGCTACTTTTATTTTAGAGATAGAATTAACGTTCCACACAAAAAAACTAAAACTAATAAATTCCAAAAATCGCAAACACAGTGGACTCTGGATGCAACCGTTTATTAAGGCTATAGTTCGTTTATTTCATTTAGACGACATTTTAAATAGCGGTGTTTAATAAAATTATCCCTATTACAAAAACACATAATAACTGTTACTAATCAGATAAGACTGAGTTAACGACTGCTTGTCATTTTGGGATTACTGCTGACCCCGCGCGACTAACGACGTAGCTTTTTGACGCGTCTAATTTTGATTGCATTGACTTGAGCTCCAAGGGACCGTAATCATTAATCTTTTATACATCTAGCAGTTTCTGAGAAAAAGGGACAGACAGGACAGGATAAACAAAAATGTTATAATTCCTATATGGGGTTTGTATTTTCCTTTTGAATTACGGAACACTATATTACTTATAAAACTATGGAATTTTCATTTGCGTCAAAGTAAAATGACTTTCTCGACCAGATAAAATATTTTAAATATATATACTTATAAAATCATTTTTGGTCAATAATGTTAAAACATTTTAAGCTAGTACCATATTTTTGAACATATTGTAACATCATCAAAGCCTCAGTGCCTTCAATTAAGTCGATCCTACTATTTTGGGGATCATAACAGAGCATGTTTTTTTTAAAATACGTGTCTGACTTCTAAGTTTTCGTAATGTTTTGTTTGTAAAAATGAATCTGAAATGGGTTTATTTTAAGAATAATAACTGAATTTTACATATTTTGTACACTTAACAATTATTCTATTTCATTTTTTTTATTATATCAGTTTAATATTATTGAACCATGTTGATAAATTTATGTTAATACGTAAAGGGAAAACTTTGTACCCCTTTTTAAGCATATTTCACGTGTTACATTTTTGGAATTACAGCAAATAAAATTTAGAATATAATAACTAATTTATCCAGTTAACTATTCACTTAAATTAAATAGTCAGTTATGGGAAGGATGTGACTTCCCGAAATCAAGCTATATTATAATACTAGGTTAGCAGCGAAATTATCTATGCTTTATCTATGGCGGTAAGTATGAAGGCATACAAGGAAAAACTTTTACACAACGTATTTATTGAGTTATAAACAATAAACCACATAAATCTGTAAAAAAATGATCAAACCAACAACATAATATTTTTAGTAATAACTCAGATCACAATGTTGCATAACAAATTTAGTCTTTTGGTCCTAACAATACTACAGGTCACGATAAAATGACTGTTTAGAGCTCAGTGAGATCGTATTTATGCCAATACAAACTTAATAAAAAAGAACAACAAACAGTCTTGTTTTGTGAGGAAGTAGTGAAATAAAATAATCGCCGTTTGCGAAACGTGAAAGTGGTAACAAGTATTTCATGGTCGTGATGGATTACTTCACTAAGTGGCCAGAAGTCTTCGCCATTACAAATCAAGAAGCTTCAACAGTTGCAGATAAACTAGTTAATGAAATCTTCTGTGGTTTTAGAGTACCTTTAGAGATTCACAGTGATCAAGGAAGGAATTTTGAGTCTCAAATATTCCAGGAAACTTGCCGAGTTGTGGGTACTCATAAAACAAGAACAACTTCTTATCACCCACAATCTGATGGAATGGTAGAACCATTTATTCAGACATTGGAGAGGTACCTAGCAAAAGTTGTGGAAAAACGGCAACGAGACTGGGACAGGAACATACAACCGTTTTTGTTGTCATATCGAAGCGCTGTTCACGAAAGTAGACACCTGCTTTCGTAAACTGTGGGAGAGAATTACGGCTGCCTGCCGACCTGATCACCGGAATACCACCTGATGCCCCACGCAGTATAACCGATTACGCAAATGACTTGCGGAACAAAATGAATGATATTTATGACCACGTCAGACATTCAGGCCAGCAAACATCTGAGAAGATGAAAACACGTTATGGCCGCAAAATGAACATCAAAGGGTTTGACGAAGGTTCACTAGTGTGGTTACACAATCCAGTTCGCAGCAAAGGGAAATCTCCTAAGCTTCAAGATAAATAGAGCGGACCGTACCGGATTGTGACAAGAATCAATGATGTAACCTACCGGATACAGAAAGGTACCAGAGGTACTCCTAAGATCGTCCATGTGGATTGACTGGTATGTTATTATGGGGCCAATAATGCTCGGGAGGAGCATGTCTTAGGAGGGGGCAGTGTTGCACGCCACTACTAATGTCTTGTACATGGCAACACTAGTTACCACTAGCGCTTTCTAGTATCGACTAGCAGAACTAGGAGAGTCAAGATCCTTCTAGAAATTTCGGGACCGATATATATTCGAACATTCTAGATGTTTCTACAGTAGAAGATTCTGGAAACTATCTGAGGCCCTATATAAGGCCGGTATAGACCACGACTCAGTCAGTATTGAATTGGCGATACAAGCGGATACTTCAAAGCGGTACAACTGCGAACTTAAGTGATCAGTAGAACAATTGTGTTTTATTATTAGGTGATCTTAAGTTGTAATTAGTGTTCTGTAATGAAAGTGTCAATTTTGGTAATTCACTCGGCTGTTTTAGTTGTCTTGATCCCCAAGGTCGTAACAATATTTATGATAGGATTTGTAAAAAGTAAACGAGAAATGTTTGTTTCTATTTATAAAAATTTATTTAAATTTTATAATTCAATTTTGAGTTTTTTAATCTGTGCCTCAAATCTCCAAAACCGCTATCCACCATATTATATTTCGTCGTGGCGTCACTTTTATAAGTAAACAAGCTATTGTGCTGTGTGTTATTTCGAAATTTTTCAAGTTATCATTAAGATTGTTGACTTTTATTCCCTATTTTATTGAAATGGCATCATGGAAGACTGGTTCGTAAAATCAGAAAGTACTAATCTACCAAGGATAAATAAATTGATGGTGGGGAAATGTTTTGTTTTGTAGAAACGATAATTAAATATAATTGATATTCACAAAATAGTGATGTTCACAGAATTATAGTCTAATAGTCTAGTTTTTTTAGTAGTACTTCGAGTCTCTTCTTGCCAGTTTTAACCAAGTATTTCTGATATTGAAATCAGTTGGGATTTGAATTTATAACTTCCTATGGCGTTCTCATGCTTGCATTTTTGCATTCACATGGCACAACACACCAATGATAAAGGTGATAACTCACTATTAAATATCCAAAAATATCTTATTCCTTTGCAAAATCGTTTTATTTACGTAGTAACGTCACTGTAACAATATTTTTATGGCACTATTCAGTTTTAAAAATTTATATAAAAATTGTAGTGGTTCATTATCACTCTAGGATTTATTTAAAACACTATTAGAAAATGGTTGTAATACAAACCATTAGTTTCCCGTTTAATTAACATCAATAGCTTTATAATATTAACTGAAATATTTTGGGAATACTTTTTGAAATTTTAAAGATTTTTAACAAGGCTTTACATTTTATATTGCAATGATTTGGCAACAGCAAGAGAAGAATTTAAAGATATTGTTGTCAAAAAATTTTCCCGAAAGACGCAGCAACTTCATGAACAGATTGAGGTATTTTTTGTAATATTCAATGAAAAAACTGAGTTGCCTACTTTGACCTTGCCGTTTAACTAATAATTAAAATAATTTTTGGCATATATTGATAAAAATAATTTTTCCGCGGGAAGTCCGGTGTCGATTATTTTTTACACAAGTTAAAGTTCGTCATCCTTATCAAAATTGGAATAAACGAAAAAAGATGTTAAGGCGATGATGTATTACAGTCGGTACGAAGCTGCCACTCGAGAACCTTTTTTCTCCATCGGTTGTCTGTTCTTCGAGCTATATGGATATTGTATCCTTGGAGTACACTGACCGCCTTCAGTTATTAGGGGTGGAAATTTTTCCAAACCTCAACTATGGGCGGTTCAATGAGTCCAGAATCAAAGCAGCCACAAGGAAACTTGGTGTCCCTGCAAGGGTGCGGCAAAGTCCGGTCGTGCATGAAATACTGATGTCACATATGGGCTGGAACTGCAAATGCACCTGGCAGCATTGGACTCAGTGCAGAGACGTGCTAAGAGGCTCATTGGTGAACTTGATTTGGTTGAAACCAATTTTTTCAGCGTCGAGCACAGGCGCAGAATAGCCAGTCTCTCGGTATTCTATAAGATGCATTTCGGTGAGTGTGCGCAGGAATTACATGCTTTAATTCTTCCTTTTCCTTTCCACCATTGGACAACTAGGCGGTCGGTGGGTCTTCCCCCCTTTATTAACGATGTCCCACGTATTAGAACCAAATGATTTGCGTACAGCAAAGGAGTAAATAATTTTCTCGTTTTACAGTGCGATTTACCATCTAAGGTTGCATCACCACCTATCACCAGGTGGGATTGTGGTCAAACAGTGGCTTATAATAAGTAAAAAACAATCGCCGCCTCCCCCCCCCCCCATTGCCACTTCAGCTTACTAATCCCGTTGGGCTATGTCGGTTACTCTGTTTCCACTGCGGATATCCTCATTTCTAAGTCTGTAAGTAGGGCCAGCAGTGAAAGATCACGTCTCAGATCCATAAGTCATCACTGGCAACACGCACTGGTTGTATAATCTCGTTTTCAGGTTTTGAGGTACACCTGACGAGAAAATGTGTCGTAATCTCCCGAACGCTGCCCAGCCGAGTTAAATCCGTCAATTGACCTCTCGTGCGAAGTTCCACTTCCTATTCCTACTCTGACTATATGTCCCAGGTAAACATATTCGTCATCAATTTTGAGCTTAGTGCTCCCAACAACCACCGGCATAGGTGTGACATGGACGTCAAACATGATTTTTGTTTTGTCCATGTTCATCTTAAGACCTATCCGTTAAGAGGCACTATTGAGGTCATTGAGCATAGTGCGTAGGTCCTCCAGCGATTCTGCCATAAGGACTATATCGTCGGCAAATCGAAGGTTACTTGGTGTAGTCGCCATGGCTGTTAATACCGTATCATTTCTAGTCCAGTAGCTTGAAAATGTCTTCCAGTGCAGCAGTGAAGAAATTCAGGGCTATAACGTCACCCTGTCTTACACCTCTCTGCAGTTGGATAGGTTCTGTGCTCTGATTCTGTACTTGGATAACCATCGTAGCTCTACTGTACAAACACTTCAGCACTTCGATATACCGACAGTCAACTTGGCACCGCTTTAGGGACTGTAGCACCGTCCAAATTTCAATAGAATCAAAGGCTTTCTCTTAGTCTATATACGTGAGGCAAAGTAGCAGATTGTACTCTTCGGTCTTCTGTACAATTTGCTGAAGGGTATATATGTGGTCTATGGTGCTAAAACCGTTTCGGAAACCTGCTTGTTCATGACGCTGGAAGTCGTGCGAGACGATTTGTAATGATTATCGAAAACAGTACGTAGACGCGGTTCAGAAAGGAAATCGGTCTGTAGTTCTTCAAAAGATCATTGTCGCTTTTCTTAAACAATAAGACCAACAAACCTCTGCTCCACGCCTCCGGAATTGTCTCGCCATGGAGGACGGAATTAAAGAGCATCTGAAGGACTGCAAGTAACAGTTTTCCACACGCTTTCAGAAGCTCTGCCGTAATTCTATCCTTCAAGCGAGGATAGAATTACAGCCTTTAAGTGCTCAGAAGCCATTCGAATCTCGCTCAGACTGACGTCCGGGATATGTTCGGAATAGTGTAGAATAAGACTTGTTTTTTGCTCGTTACTCACAACTACGTATGGCTCCAACGATGACGTGTACAGCTGCCCATAGAATCTCTCAATCTCACCCAAAATTTAGGTGTCAGCTTTGACATTTGGGTCGTTCTAGCAGACAGATCTTTGGCAAAGACTTTGGAGCCATGGTTCCGCTCGATCGCTTCTTCCGTACAAGCTATATTGAAGTTGCGTAAGTCCCGCCGCATTAATTTGTAGATCTGTCTGTTCAGGTGCCTGTATGCTGTCAAATCTGTTGAAGACTGCAGCTTCATTTCCTGTCTTACAGCCATGAAATTAAAAGTGTGATCGGAGAGTTGTTGTGTTCTTCTGTGGCGAGTCTTGTAAAACTTAGCTTCGAATGCATGGACAGATTCCACGAGCATTTCTTTCATATCGTCCTCCGTATTGAAGCTTTCTAGGCACTGAAAACGGTTTTGTTACTCGAGCTGAAAGGTTTCGGGACTTTGGATTAGAGCACGAGGGGTACGGATCGTTGACTTCATTAAAAGAGACCTCTCCAACTTAACGTTTAGGTTCAGTGTGCCTCTAACCATTCGTTCATCGCTACCAGTTTTCCCCCTCGCAATCACTCAGATATCACTGAACAGTTGTTGTCTGTTTGTCATAATGAAGTCAATCTGATTTTTTTTCGAATCGTTGGGGCTCGACCACGTCCACTTCCTGTGGGGTCGATTCTGGAAGAAAGATTTCATTAAAAATAGTCCCTCTTTCTGCATAAAGTCGGCCAGGTGCTGACCCCTTGGGTTATATTGCCCTGTTCCGAATTTCCCTACCTTCAGCTTACCGTTCTCTCTTCTGCCTAGTTTTGCAATGAAGTCTCCCATTAACACCGTATGGTGGGTTTTGAAGGAACGCATGGCTTTAAAGTTATCTCCTGCGTAAACCTGTATGAACTTTAACGAACACCGTTTTGTGATGCTGAGCATAAGGTACGCAACCCTCATCGACACACTTACAATCCTAACAACATTGTTAACCTCCTAGGAACAAGTGGTCGCTCTCCCAGAGATAGAACAAGTTGCCAGATTCAAGGATTACCGTGTCCTCCCCCTCTCTTCAA